ATAAAAATAAAACAATATATCTTATTATATATATTTGGCAGTAGGTTTGTAATAATTTATCTTTATCCCTAGTATTAAGAAGACTTATCAATCAGTAGACAACCATTTAACCAATCCAACTTTGGCCTGCACTTTGTGTGAAGAGTCTCTGGATGGCACGGAAATGGTCTTATGGCACATGACTTACATGGTGTTGGAAGCGAAAGTGTTTCACATTTCTCCATTACTTTTGAGTTTTCTTTTTAAATAATGTTATTGTCTTTTCATTGAATTCTGACACTGCACTGTAAGTGCTTACTTCAAAATGTGTACACAATTTGTTTAGCTCTATTGTTTACACTCTTCATAATGCAAACATTCTTAATATATCCATTTGTCTTATCCTATTTCCAATAAATTATTCAGAGTTATTTTGGGTCACTATGTTTCAGAGCTGACTCACAGCTAGTATTGGACATTTTTAGGAAAAAAGGAGAGTGTCAAATTTTGGACAACTGAAAAATATGGTATTCAATAAAACAGTATGCTTTTAAAAGAAATGTCTGATTTATATCCTCTGCTCATAAATTCTGATTTAAGATGTAATTCATACAGATTTTGAATTATTTGTGGTTAAATAGCACCATCACAGTCATGTTTCAATATTAAATACTCCAAACTACTTGCAATAAGTACTCTTGAATTGTTTTAAACCAAATTTAGTCCTTTTTATGGCTTTTGTTTTCTTATAGATCCCCCTGTTTCTTTTGTTTTCCACATGAAAATAATAACATTTCAGTTGAACTTTAATTTAGAAAACTACCCTGAATTTGAACGGTACTTAAAAATCTTATGAAAAACAGTACAAATTAAATAACTGTTAAGGGTATCATTGTATGATAGCTTTTTTCTACAGACTACCAGAAAGGAATTACTCTCTTAACTCCATTGATGCTAAACAATTATTGGATGATCCTTATTAAAAATGAGCTACTTCAAATGTCAAGCAATATAGTTCTTGTTCCAAAAGTAATATAAATGAGAGGAGAATGATTTTTAAAAGTTAAATATGTTGTACAGATATCTATGCACAAACATGTACCATATTTTCAGAAAGAATATCTGAACCCCTGACTTTCAAACATAAAGTGAGACCTAAGGTAAAAGCCATTGATGAAGACCTTGGGGGAAAAACTCTTTAACAATAACTGAAAATGCTTATTATTAAGGTTATTATCTCAGATTTCTATTCAAATTTGATTAATATGACTTGATCTTATCAAATGACACAAAATAGTTTTAGGGTACATGACTGGCACTATGGTTCAAGTGAAAGTATTTCACATTTCTCGCTTATTTTGAATTCCTTTTAAAAGTAATATTTTACTGTGTTTTCACTGAAAGTGAGCACAGCAGTGTGGGTTCCAATTCAAAAACGTCTGCACAAATCATGTAGTCCCAGTGTTTGTGGTCTTCACAACGCAGACTTGCTGAACATTTCCGTCTCCTCATTCCATTGTCATGGATTTAGTTTTCCTTCCCTCTATATTTTTATCTTATTTTAAAGAAGGTTTGGACTCCAACGGATTTTGTTGGGTGGCACATATTTTCTTTTCTGAAATATTACAGTGTCTCACTATAATATTATTTATATTGTGAGCCAATTTGTTATATAGCTGAAAGGTAATGTTAAAGGCTAGGTTTGGTTCAAAGTAAAATGCAGCAAACTATGGGTCTAATCCTTTAAACTCAGACAACCGAACCCCCAAGATATTTGGCTACTCTAGGAAGTATCCCTAGCGATATTTTTAATGTGTTTTACTATGTGTTTATTCCAAACAAAACATTTTTTCTAGGTTTTATAACATAATGAGTAGATAAGGAGGTTTGGCAACAATTATTCTACTGTAGACTCAAATTTCCTTAAGTCATCATTTATCAAGGTGACAAGGGGAAATCTGAGCTGGCTAGAGGTCCTGTCAGGGGCAGTGGTAGAATCCAGTCTCAATCAGATCCTCGTGTGGAAAAGCTTCTTCATGTCGGTGTCAGTTATAACGAGACAATAAGAAGGACGGAGCTCTCTCTTTCCCTCTGCAACAGCCTGCTTGCTTGCATTCTGCTTTTGGCTCCCGGGTCAGCGTTACAGCCCAGGTGGCCCATCATCCCGGGCAGTTGTCAACATCCTGTAAGTTCCTGTGGACCTTGGATCTTCCATCTCTGCCTGCACTGAACTATGACCCTCCAACTTCCTCACACACCTTCCCGTGTCATCCGCTAGCAGCCGTGTGAGCCTTGAAGAGGGTTTCTGGTTAGCACCACACTCATAGACACTTTTTGCTATAAAATTCTTTCTTGAAACAAAGTTCTTGCTCATACATATATGAATGTCACTGGCTTTGTTTCTCTAGAAAACTTAGCCTAATACACCTCTCATATGATTTGGTTTCACGTATTATGCTTCCCAGCTATCGTGTCTTTTACACATTGAGGTTTGTGGCCACATTATAGCAATCAATTTGACTGGTGCCAGTTTTCCAATGGTGTGTGTTCACTCTCTCCATTCCATTTTGGTAATTCTCACACTATTTCAAAGCTTGTCTTGACACTGTTGCAGTCATAGTAGAGTATAATATGGTGTCAACGTAACTTTTATATGCACTAGAAAAACTGTGACTTACTTTAATGCAGTGGTCTGGAACCAATTTTGCAATTTAACCAAAGTATGCTTATACCTGTAGATTAATAAATTGGTTAATTTTGTCTAACTTATTTCTGTTATTTATTCTATCTCAGAGATCTCAGACACTTCTACATACACAAATTTAAGATGAGCTTAAGGCCCTATTGCTTAGTGAAGCGGAGTGCTTAGTGGAGTGGACTGAAAGTGGAGACAGATGAAGTGTCTTGGGATCAATCTCCACCTACAGTATGGATTTTGCCTCAATATAAAGGAAAAAGACATTTCTCACAACTGGACCAATAAACATTACAATAAGGGTAGAAAATATAGAAGGTGCCAAAAATCTGAATAATCAACACACGCGGAAGCAGTAGTCGAGAAATCAAACGGCGTATTGTATCAGACAGATCTGTTGTAAAAGACCTCTTTCAATTGTTAAAAATAGTGAAGAAGCGATCTTGAGGACCAGGGCATGCTGACCCAAGTCCTGGTCTTTTCCCTGCCTCCTGTCCATGTGCAAGCGGGGCACCATGGCTACGGAAAGCTGGAGGAGAATGACTCTCTTTAGATGACTGTGCTGGTGAAAAATACTGAATATACCGTGGACTGGAAGAGAAGAAGCTAAGAGCTCTTTGAAGAGGGTAGCCAGGATATTTCTTACAAGGGAAGATGGCAGGGATGTTGTCTTAGTACTTTTGACACGCTATCAGGCCTCTGGAAAAGAACATCATTCTTCCAACGGTCAGCTTTAAAGAGGAAATCTCTCAGGAGATGGACTGACTCAGTGGCTGCTCTACTGGGCACGCAACGAGCAGCAATAGTGAAGACGGTGCAAGACTGTGCAGTGTTTCATTCTGGAGGACATAGGGACAAAATAAGCTAGAACCAACTCAACAACACTAACGAAGCAACAAACAAGACTATCTGTCCTGTTGTAAATGTGTAAAGGGAATAGAGGGAAGAAGTCATTTGGCAGACAACACCAACCTTGCTTTATGTACCCTTCAAGAGAAATTTTTTTTTTTTTTGAGAATGAGCCAAGGTTCTCTTTCAGCATTCTGGTGTTTTACCTGATGGTTTGTTATGGGCCCTGAAGGCAGAGTGGGCTAGACACTGAACTATTAACCACACGGTCAGCAGTTCAAACTCACCTGCCACTCTACAGAAGAAAGATGAGGCTGTCTATTCCTATAAAGAATTAGTCTTGGAAACCCAAATAGGGCAGTTCTACCCTGGCCGACAGAATCACTGTGAGTTGGAACCAGCCAGCTGGTTGTGGGTTTGGTGCAGAGTTGAATGCTGCTGTGATTGAAATACCACAAGTGAATGGTTTTAGCAAACGGAAATGCATTCTTTCACCTTTAGGAGGTTGGAAGTCCAAATTCAAGGTGTCAGCTGTATGGGAAAAGTTTCTGTTGGTTCACAGTTTAGGAGAAAGGTCCTTAGCGAGTTTCGGCATCTGTGGCTTGAGGATTATCTGGAGATTTACAGGAGTCAATCTTGGCATCTATCTTCCCCAGCATCTAGCAGCTTCTCAGGGCAAAGGCGCTGGTTCAAAGGACCACTTCTGGATTTTCTTTCTTGGCAGTTTAAGTGCTCATACTTTCTGTCCACTTCTTTTTCCTGTTATATAACACTTCTCTTTCCTCTTCCATAACAAAAAATGCTGCAAGCCACATCGCAAAGAAACTCACCTTTCATGGCTCAGGCCTGTGACCTGATTAAGATTGCTGTATCCCATGATAATCTTCTGACATAAGATCATAACTGATCTCATTAAATCACATCATAGAAGTTGATTACATTGTTACCTCACTGCCAAACCACTAAGAATCATGAAGCAACTGACCCGACATATATTTGGGGGGACACAATTCAATCCATGAGTGTTGGGTAATATAAAATAACTAAATAAACACAATGCAGAATGAATAAGAAAGACTACATACATCATTCTTAACATACATCATTGTAACTATTGTTACAGCATAATAACAATCAGAGAAGCATATGCACATTGTTTTGTATTGCCTCTCTCAGTGTGTCAAACAATCACAGTAAAAACGAGATGTCTATCAGCTTATAACAAACTATTTATTACTCAAAATACTACAACATACTTATATACTATTTAATTTTTTTTATTTTACCTCCTTACCCTGTAAAATATCTCTCCTGAGGGATTTAATAAGAACGATGAATTTCTGAATTAATTTACAACACTGATGTTTAATATTTTCTTTGAGTTTTAGATCTGGATACATTCTTTAATATCTGGTTTCATATATTAAAAACTTCTTAGATTGACTATTAAAAATGAAAACAAAAACAAGCAACTTACCAACTGGTTCCTTCTGATTTTGAAAGAGAATCTTGCTATTACTGCCATCCATGTTTGCCATATTAATTGTGTTTCCATCTGTCCAGTACAGTTTCCTTAGCACAAAGAGATACAGATTAAAAAATATTAGATGTGGATATATTTAATGAGTGGAAACACGCACTGAGGAGAAAACAAATATTAAAATGTATTTCTGACTCAAGGTTAATTCTTTCCAGGAAATCCCAGTGTGCTGTGCCCCTTTCTGATAGTAACCACTATGTTGGCCTTGGGAAAAAGCACCATCTGTTTTTTTTCCTTTCATTAAACAAAATTTATCTCATTTACATTTTTCCCACATTCATAACAACATTTAAATATGACTATAATAAATTATTATCACTTTAAGTAATTCACTGTTGTAGAACCATCCTGGTTGTGGAGAAATGAAACACATAGACAAAACTAATTTGGGTGTTTCCTTAAGAAGGATGGGGAAATAGCACTTGCTTTAGCTCTAGAGAACCCTTTCTAAGGTTCATGATAAAGAACAAAAATGGTGGTGGAATTTGATGTGCTCAGCATTGGCCCGGACATCAACATGTGATAAATAATATATTAACAACTGACATTCTAATGGGAACCAATTACTTTCCTCTGCATCTCTTTATCCTGACCTGTTGCTTCTAGGAAACACATACTAGTGACATTTTATTATGCTCCAGATCATAAACTCCCTGCTGGTGGGTCATTTCCCACTCATAGAGACCCTTCGGACACAGCAGAAGGTCTCCGGGCATCTCTGAGATCATAAATGTCTACGCAGGCCATTGGCCATGTATTTCAAGTGCAGAGCAGTTAGCTGGTGCATTCGAATGACTGACCTTTAGGGTAGCAGGCAGGTGCTTTATCCAATGTGCTGTTGTAGAAACTATAGAAAAAAATAACTTTTCCTCAGACATGAGAACTCTCTCATTGGAATCCTTGTTATAGTTTCTATATTTCCATTTACTTTTTAAAAATTGATATAATGTGTCATCTGGATTAAACCATGTATATGTATGCATAATATATATCATTATATATATACAATGTTGTATATATACACATATATAGGTTTTAAATGTAGGAGATGTGCGTGTGTGCGTGTGTGCGTGTGTGTGTGTGTGTGTGTGTGTGTGTGTGCATGCATGTGTAATCCCTCAAAACACACTGCCATCAAATTGATTCCAACAAATAGCCACCTTAAGGACACCCATTCTAATGGAACAGCCCTGGGGCATTTCACTTTCTTCTGAAAAGTGAATGTTGGGTTTGAGCTAAGAACCTCAAGTTCAGCAGCCACATCTGACCCATTACATGACCAGGAATCCTCACTTATGTATCACATTGTTTAAGTCAGAGGACACACCTAATAAAAATGTTCTACACAGGGGCTTCAAAAATTTCATGGCAAAAACCCCATTCTATTTTCATTCCATTTATGAATATCTTGCATCTATAAATGGGCACTGGTGGCACGGTGGTCAAAACATTGTGCTTGCCTCCTAACCGACACCTACCTGTTCTTCCGTGGAAGGAATGTGAGGTAGCCTGACCCTGGAAAGACTTACAGCCTTGGGAACAATGTGGGACTGTTCTACTCTGGTGTGTAGGGTGTCTGTGAGTGAGCATTCATACATGGCAGTGAGTTTATACCTGTAAACACATACTCATATATACATATTCACACACACATCTTCTTATATATGCACACACATATAGGAACACACTCCTACTCATAATGACCTTATGGGACAGAGTAACAATGTTCCATAGAACTTCCTAGGGCCCTTCTACCAGAGGAATTCACATAGTGACTCAATGACGGGTTTAAATATAGGAATATTGGTGAGGATGATGCGGAATCAGAAAATACTGGGTTCCGTTGTGCATGGGGCCCGCATGAGTCAGAGCTGACACAAAAGCTCCTAAAATCAAGAACAATTTTTATAGGAGCAAATCAGGTCTTTTTCACTATGGGATGTTTAATCATTGAGTCACTAGGGCGTCTGCTATATACAATGGTAAGGGGCTTCACGAAGTTCATGGGAAAAAAAGTTAAAAAAGAGGGAGATAAAAGATTATGGAAAATTTATAAAACATTTTGAAGTCTCCTTGTCCATATACACATTGGACATATATATGGATACATAGATATTCATATACATATATATACACACATATATAACATAAACATAAACATATGTAGAAAAATGAAGTACAGGTTTGTGGTATTTTGGATTAACTTAAAAAATAATAATAATAAAAAAATAATAATCATACTTTACCCCCTGACTGGGTGAGCCGCAAGACACTGTGGCTTATCGATCCCATGGATAATTGAAGTTTTCAAAGAGCCATCTAACCGGGCCACATTAATTTGAGTTTCATCAAATTCTGAGCTAATCCAGTATAAATTACGGGATAACCAATCCACTGCAAGCCCTCGGATACTCTGAATATCTGTGACAGAGGAAAGAGAACATTAAAAAGTGAATGAAGTTTCTCATTCTGTTGGCTTTCCTAATTAAGTTGTTTTCAGTCTCAAGAAAATTTAATTTATACTTAATTTGTTAGCTAAAATTGTAAAAGATTGTAATCTCCTTCCCTTATGGGTGCTTCTGAAGGCATGAATAATCATTAATGTCTTAATGTTGAGCCATTTGAAGACCTGAAGCAGCAATTAGCATCGAAATTACACTAACAGTCAATGATTCACTAGTAAACACTTACAGGCAGACATAGGCCCCAGTCTTATGGTCCAAGGTGACCAAAATTCAAATGAGAGCAATAGCTTCTCCAGCCGGTAGCACATCTTCCTATTTAGGAAGAAGCACTTCTGGTCTATCAACAAATGGGCTATTTTATGTTTTAGGTGCCAATTTGTTATCAGAGTGAAATAAAACAATTCAACTTTTCTAAAACAATCACCGGAGTTGAACATCTTTCAGAGTAGATAATTAACAAGAATTGACTGAGATATGAAAAACGAATCCAAAACCTGTTACCATTCCTGTAATGTGGACTCTACAGAAATTACTGAGATTTAATTAAGTTTGTATTTATTTGAACCAATAAGAATATTGGAGGCCATTCTTCAATGATTCACTTAGATACCTTTAAAACATAAATAGAACTTAGATTTAAATACAATTGCAAAGTTTAATTAAATGAAAATATGCTCAAAATAAAAAAGTTTTAAATGAGAAATCTATTAAATATTATGATATAAAGTAGACAAGATTATACATAGCATTTGACTATTCATCCATCTTGTTTATTACTTTTATTTTCAGGTTATGAATGATGAGATTATCATAAGCATTTTTAAATTCACACATACTTTAAGATCATTACTTAATGGTTACATATTTCTAGTATAGTTTAATTCTGGAGTTTTCTAAACCAGTGCTTTTAAAGTATATAAGGCAGCTGGAAATAGTGTTAATGAGGGTTCTGATTCATTCGGTGGTGAGGATTGGCCAAGATTCTGCAGTTCCGATGGCCTCCCAGGTGATAGTGTTTCTGTTACTCAAAGTATGTGGTTACACTTGATGGACATCTAGGAGCCAGAACCACAAAGCAGACATTACTTAGCTCCAGTTTTACTTCTGCCTCTTCCCCTTCTATTTGACAACGTTTCCAAGCTCTCATGTTTGCCAACGTGACAGGGCAGCGAAGGAGGGGAAGGCCCTCAAGGAGACGACTTGTCGCAGTGGCTGTGACACCGGCTCAGACGTGGAACAAGTGTGAGGATGGGGAAGGACTGGCAGTGCTGTGCTCTGTTGTGCACAGCGTCGTCGCTATGGGTCAGAACTGCCTCGATGGCCCCTACCGACAAAAACTCATTTTATAATTGTTCAAAAGAAGCAAAAATGCGATCTTTAAAAATTTCTAACGTGAAAAAGCTAGAATTTTAAAATTTGATAGTCAGTTAAAAACAACAAAACAAAAACACCAAACCCAGTGCCATTGGGTCAGGGCTGACTCATCGCGCCCCGCAGTGGGGTTTCTGAGACTGCAACTAATGGCAGGAGTAGAAAGCCCAGTTTCTCTCCTGCAGAACCAAGGGTGTCTTTAAACTTCAGACCACGCAGATCACAGCTCAACGTGTAACCACTACACAGCCAAGTTTAAAAGAACATGGATGCTCAGCAGTCTGGCTTCTGGCACAAAATTCAGTATTGTTTGATCCTCAGTCTCAGTTGAGTCTTCATTCTTGTTGAAAAATCCTGTGTATTATTTCTAAATAAATCGTCATCAGAGTGCCATTTGAAGACGACTCAGGTTTACATTTTTCTTAAATCAATAATTACTCAGCAAGTAAGTTTTCATCAATACTTTACTGGTAAGTTGGTGAATTTCAAATGTGACCTTTCTTCATTTTCAATTCCAAAGTTCCACTCTTTATTTTTAAGTATCATCATCCATGTCCCTCTTCTATTGATAAGCATCCTTGTCTTTCTGTGAAACTAAGCATGCCTTCTCTTATTTATTTCATTGCTACCCCAAGATCTGTATTACCCTTTGTTCTATATCCATTAGACTCAATTTGTTGACAAGACACAATATTGCTGTAATGAAAAATATTTGGGTTCGTGTTTCAGGCTGTTTGCCATTGTTTTTAAAAAATCTTTAGCCAAGTAGCTTATACCATCTACATTTTTTAATTCTGTTTCATGGAGCTATTTATTGAAAATACATAAACCAAACCTACTATCTTCTTGATGATTTTGAAGCTCATCAGGAGAAATAAATAAATGCAGCACACATATCACAAAACAATGAAAAAGAAGAGTTAGAATGGAGATAAACTATAAGGAGCAGGTTTAAACTTCCAAAGTCTCCATATCTTTGAAGTAATGCTTGTAAAACAAAGAAAATGAGTGGAGTATTTTAAAGATTTAGAAATGGGACATTAAAACCAAGGGATAGTAATTACTTATCAAAATTCACATATAATATATGAGTAAGAACCAAAAGGAACTTTATATAATTTTAAAAGAAGACAATAAGAAAAAATAAATCTCCTGGAAACTTTAAGCTAATTGGAGTGATTAAACAGAAGGCCAGGCATAGCTGAGCTGAGAATGAATGCAACATAAATGAACTGGAGACAATGCAGAAAAACAAAAGGCAAGTAAGAGAACAAGTCTAATCCATTTCCAAAAAGGCTAGAGAGAAAAGATAAGAAAAAGCAGAGATGATTCAGTGGTTTTTCTTGTATGCTCTATGGTGTTTTTTATTTTTAATGACACTATAGGGAGTATTACATATTTTAATTGCCATAAAACATTTTATATGTTTAATGATGATAAACACAGAGAGAAAAGCACATCACTACAAAAGAGTAACAATGGCTTGGCATTGGGCATTGGGCATCTCTAAAACCATAAGGGGAACCAATGTGGTGGAATGACATCTACTAATGGTTGTGGGAAAACAGGCCTCGGAATTTTGTGTTTGTTCAACAAATTTATCTTTGAAAAACAAAGATTAAATATCTTTCAGGTAACAGCACTTTGGGGAGATGATCACTAGGATTTTCGTTGAAATGAAGGAACATTTAAGGTAGCAGAATTGGAGGAAATATGCAGATAACACAACTTTGTGTGCTGAAAATGAGGAAGACTTGAAGCATTTGGTGCAAAAGATCAAGGATTTTAGTTTTCAGGGTGGCTTACAAATCAATGTAAAAGAAAATCCTTACAACCAATAAGAAGCATGATAAACAGAAAAACTGCAGTTTTTAAGGATGTCCTCCTGCTTGGATCCACAACCGGTACTCCTGGAAGCAGCAGCCAAGACATCGAAGGACTCCTTGCATTGAGTAAATCTACTTCGCACACCTCTTTAAAGCAATGAAAAGCAAGAATGTTACTTTGAGGACAAAAGTGCACCTGGCCCAAGCCAAGGTATTTTGCATAGCTTCATATGCATGTGAACGTTGGACTTTGAATAAGGAAGACCAAAACAGAATCAACACATTTGATTTATGGTGCTGAAGAAGAACATTGAAAGCACCATGAACTGCTAGAAGGACAAACAAATTTGTCTTGGAAGAAGGACAATGCAAAGGCATCTTAGAGACCAGGATGACAAGATAGCCCTTCCTGTCCTCTGGGGCTATTACCAGAGAAAAGGACATCATGCTTCCCAATGTGGAGAGGCAGTGAGACGGAGGGAGACCCTGGACAATATGGATTGACACCGTGGTTGCCATGCAAGAGCAGCTGTGAGGATGGCAGCGCAGGAGTGAGTGGTTGATTCCTTCTGTTGTACACTGGGCCACTATGCATCAGAACTGCCTGAACAACAAATGAAAGTCATCATTCAGAGAGAATGAAACAGAGCACAGAATGTCTTAAAGGAAGGCGGGAAAGGATAAGCATGTAAATGTATTGACATATATATAAATACAAATTTAAAACGGGATAGTTACTTCAAATTCTCTGCTTGAGATATAAGAGGGTACCCCACAGACTTTGTTTTTTCAAAGCTATATATTTAACTTTTTTTACAAAACAACCTTATCCCCTTCAAAGTACTCTCAATTACATGTAATACTTTTCTCAAATCTGTGATTCCATTCTTGGAAATATTTTTCAAACTCATCTGTTTGAATGGCTGACAGCACTTCCCTCATTTTTTTCTTCACCTCTTCTTTTTCATCAAATTGCTGTCCTTTCATGTCCCTCTTCATTTGTGGAAACAAAAAATATGTTGCATAGAGTGAGGTCTGGTGAGTAAGGTATGTGGGGCAAGAGAGGCATGCTGTTCCCCAAACTGGCACACTGAGATGGCTGCATGAGCAGGTGTGTTGTTGTAGTGGGAAAACCAGTCCCCTAGCTGGATGAATCAGGCCATTTTTGTCGCATACTGCTCTGCAGTCTTTTCAGAACCTCTAACTAGAAAGCTTGATTAACAGTGTGACCAGTCTTGTTTCTTCTCTGCTAGAGAACAAGCCCTCACTGAAGAAGCACACCAACCTTCTGATCACGACGTGTCGATGGGATCAGGTAACAGGCATCCGAAGACCACAAAGAAACAAACAAACAAAAACAAACTGTTGAGGAGGGTCAGAGCAGAGACCCAAATCCATATGTAGACAATGGGATATCCCCTCACAAAAGGGTCGCAAGAAAGAGATGAGTCATCCAAGGTGAAATAAAGCACCAATGAAATACGCAATTTCCTCTGGTTCCTTGAGGTTTCCTCAATCCCCACTATCATGGTTCCAACCTTGTCTTTCACTGCGGACTAGGTCAGAGCATGTACACAAGTACCGATAAGAGCATAGGACACATGGAATCAAGGTCAGCTAAACCCCTCAGGAACAGAAATGGGAGTAGCAATACCAGGAGGGTAGATGGCAGGTGGGGAGAGTAGGGGGTAAGAAATCACAGGGGATGGGAGACAGTGGTTGGTGTTAGATAAGACAACAATAATAATTTATAACTTAT